CGAGTTGGTTCTGACCCATAGCGACCCTGTAGAGGGTTTCTGAGGAGCAGCTGGTGGGTTTGAACCACCAACCTTGCAGGTCACACTGACCTTGTGGTTCAGTGCATTATCATGCAGTGCCACACCAGGACTCCACACTTGACAATATATTTATTTATTCTTGAAAACCAATGAAAATCATATGAAATTCATGATGGTGGTGGGTCCTGAGTTCTATAAAGAGGGCACCTTCATATTAGCCAGACTGTAATCATGCACCAATAAAGTCATAAGGATAGTTGTTGATACAAAAGTAGTAAACTTTGGGGAATGTTTTCCTGAACTTCGCTGCTGTTGTTAAGTGCCATCGAGTCATGTATGGAGGCATGAAATGTCACTAATACCATTAAAAGGAATGAACTGAATTCAAGAGAATTTATCATTAAGGAGTAGCCTATTGCACTGAATCTGGTGACAAAGATTCAGTTTGTTTCTAAACAGCTGTGATATCTGGGTGAATTCTCCCATGTCAATGACAAACTAAGCAAACCAAAGCTTTGCAAAGGATGAATATGGTGAAGAAAACAGATAGGAGTCTGAGAACCATATTGCTTATCTGGTCAAACCAGAACTCGTCCATGGGTCTTAGAAAATCAGAAGTGAAGTTGCAGAAAGATTAAGATAAACTTACTTTCAAACAAACAAACAAAACTATGCATATATATATGTATATATAATAACTTGGGCACTGAAACAGGAATGGGTGTGTGAGCGTGAGCGTGAGCCCATGCAGGGCAGGAGGATTTGATAAGGCAGCTATTCTAAACCTGACAGGTTAGTTCAGTGAAAGACAGTGTAGAACTCAATGATTTTTAAACAGGAAATTCAGAGTTGGCTTGAAAATTGAATAAGTGATTAAAGAAACTGATAGCATTGTAGAATCCTAAGCTTTGGGTCCAAGTATGTTCCTTACTATACTTGTTTGCTTTTAAAGCTTTGACAGACACACATGAAGGACAAACCCAATCCCATGAAGGACAAACCCAATCCATGAAGGACAAACCCAATTCATTGCTATTCCAATGATCTCTATTCAGAGCAACCCTAGAGAACAGAGTAGAATTGCCCCATAGGGTTTTCGAGGCTGAAATCTTTCCAGAAAGAGCTGGCCACATCTTTCTCCTGTGGAGCAGCTGACTGAGTTTGAACTGCCAACCACCTTTCGGTTAGGAGTTGAGTGCTTTAAATGCTGTACCACCAGACTCCTCTTATTGAGTAAAAGGGTTCTCTCTTATCACCTTCTGTCATTAATTGAATTGTGCCCCCTAAAAATAGGTATCAAATGTGATTTTCATTACAGTTATGTAATGATGTAATTTGGTAGCTATGTAATTCTGTAATCATCCACTATTATGTGATCAGCCAATTAGTTGTAAGGGGATTAGGGTGGGATGCAACACCCTTCCTTAGGTTACAGTCCTGATCCAGTCGGGGGACTGTTCCGGGATGTGGCCTGCATCACGCACTATTTACAAGAGATACAGGAGGGAAGCAGAGCATGCATGTCCTTTGGATCTGGAGTCCCTGAGCTGGGAACCTCCTAGAACCAGGAAACCCAAGAGAGAAAGCCTTCCAGCACGGGTGCCCTGGGTCCAGACTTTTAGTCTCCTAAACTAGAGGAGGACAAATTTGCTTGTTAAAGCTACCTACTTGGGGTATATCTGTTCTAGCAGCTAGACAACTAAGACACCTTCCAAAACAGTATTAACAAAAATCAAAGATGAAAGTTGAAAAACAAAACAGCCTTGTTTACCACCAAGATGAAGGTCTGCATCTTAAACATTACTCAACAGTCTCACCAAGAGCTAAGTGAGTGGTGGTGGTGGGTTACTCAGAGAAAGGGGCGTCACAGATAAAAGAACACGGACTAGTGACCAGTTTTCTTCAGGAAAAAAACCAACCAACCTATATTACGAAATGGGAATGTGCACAAACACAGACAGTGAAGGGAAATACGGCTTGAGTTAGCAGGTACTGTAGCTATCTCGCCTCTTAACAAAAGTTTGATTTCCCACCTGCTGTTCAGCAAGCCTCTTCTGGATTTCTTGATCATCACAGACATCATAAACAACAGGCTTAGAGAGCTCAGACTCAATTCGAGCCAACCAGGTGCGAAGGTTGCTCATGTTTTTGTCTAACTGCTGAATAAATGCAAAGGTCTCCTTCAGTTTCTTCACCCTAAACATGATTGTAGAGGGGAAAAAAAGAGGTGGAAAACAAAAGCCCAATATTTTAGTAGTGAGCAGACTGTGCTAACAGGGAACCTACCTTAGGAACAGTAGAGACTTTAAAGCAGTAACAATTCTCACAACTCCAGATACCAGTTTCCATGGAACATGTGACACTTTGTAAAACTGTTGCTTCAGCTAATTTCCAAATGGACTCAGAGTTAATCCACCCATGCAAATCCTGCAATCCTACCATTCCAAGAGCAGGAGCCGCTGAGAACCAGTTCATCTTTCTGGGGCTCTGCCAAGTCTCCTCTGAATCATGGTGATCTCTTCAGGCACAACAGAAGGAAGCACTGCTAGTCCTGTGCCATCCCCATGATCAGTTTTGGATCACATCAGTAGGACCTTTAGGGTTTTATTGGCTGGTTTTTGGAAGTACATTGCCAGGCTTTTTTTCCTAGTCTTAATCTGGAAGTTCTGCTGAAAGCTATTCAGCATCATAGCAACATATAAGTCTCTACTGACAGAAGAGTGGAGGCTGTCTCTGGGCTACATTGGCTGGGATTGAACCTGCATGGAATGAGAGAATTCTACCAGTGAGCCACCTGAGCTGAGAGGAGATGCCACTCTGGACTTCTGCCCAGTTCCTGTTGTGGGCATAGTTGAGATTGTAGCAGCCAGTGATCTTTCCTGATGGGCTGAAGATGTTACATGTGAGGTCCACTTGGTGGTATTTGGCTTGTGATGATTCCAGGGGCCTTTCTCTTGGATCAACTATAGACTATGTGCCAACTGACCACTCTCCCTCTAATCTGACAGGGTGGAGGGTGCTGTAACCTCTACACCCCATGCAGGTACTTTATGGGGTATCTGTGTCTGTCAAAGAGTGAGCAAGGAAGGGCATAAAGGTCATTTGCATGCAAGGCACAGCTCTGCCACCTCTCTCACCATCTGTCTTAGTTCTCACCCAGCCCAAGTGGGCATCGAGCATATCTGAAACCACACACATGGTGTTCGTACACTTGTGTGGTGTTCGTATACTTGTGTGCTCACCAGTGTATCAGCTCACTGTCAAGGGAAATGATAAGTTGCTGAGAGGAAACAATTGCTTTTTATACAGCTACTGAGATAAAATGCTTCAATAAACCATTTTCATGAAAGCAGTCCTACAGTAGAGAGCATGAGGGCCTGGATCTGGTAATCTGTAGGATTTTTAGTTAATTCCAGAGCTTTGAAGCGTGCTTACAATTACAAGTCCCCATTTATACATATTCTGTCTAAACTGCATCCTGCGGCTGATCCTATTGGCAAGATAAATCGGGACAATGACATCCAACTTACAGGAAATGGACCACTTTCCATGCCACCATCCTCTCTCGTTTTGACTCCCTGTGAAGAGCTCCCTGCCAGCCTGCCTGAACTGCTGTCTGTCCACCTCAGGTTGTATACATTCTAGAAGATACATCTGCTCCATTATCCAAACCTCTCCCTGCCCTGACATACTAGTGTCACCTACGCCATGATTCAGTTCCTTGTGTTCAGTGGCTCGCTGCAAAGCAGCTTCTCTCTCCTTTTCCGGAACCTCTACCTGCTGCTCCCATAGATAAGCTGGGTACCCACCTCCACATGTTCTCATAGCACCCTCACCCTATGCTGCACCTGCTACTCATACACTGTGTACCTGGCAGGGGCTGCCCTTTCTACCTCTGTGGTCACACCACCACCCTGCCTGGTAGATAGGAGGTGTCTACTAATGTTTGCTGGATGGATACATTTGTATAAGCTCTTCTACACACACTACTATGTAGTGGATGGCATGTTTTTTTGTTGTGTATCCTACATGAGACTAACTCAACCAGGGAGTCCACAGACTGCTGGGTTTATGATCTAAGGAAAATCCTTTTACCTTAGACCATCACCTCTAGTAGGTCTGGGATTCCTCAAGCTTCAGGGAGGTGGTAGCAGATGGGAGAGGCTAAGGCCAGAGCTTTGGAGACAAGCAGATTTGAGTCTAAGTCCCATTCCACCATCCATGAGCTATGCATCTCTGCCAGGTACTTAAGCTTCCAGATCCCCAGTCTCCTAGTTAACTGTAAAATGACTCACCTTACAGGGTAAACCTTGCTAGACAGTAAATGCTCGACACTACCAGCTCTTGTTATTGCAGACTGGGCTACCTGATGCTGAATTAACATCTTGTTTATAAGGCATTGGACCTCACAAAGTTCTCTCATAAATACGACCACAGGTTTGCTTTACTCTGAACAGCCGCAGGAGGCAGGCAGGCAGGCTTGAAGAGGAAGCCCCATAGTCCAGTGGTAAAGAGTGCAGAGTATGTCTGCACCTGGGTTTTGAATCCTGGGTGGGTCATGTTGTTGTTGTTAAGTGCTGTCAAGTCAGTTCTGATTCAGAGCAACCCTGTATAGTTTCAGAGAAGAGGCTGGTGGGTTTGAACCACTAAACTTGTGGTTAGCAGTCCAGGACCCCAGCTGTGACATATCACCTGTAAAATGGTACAGTAGTTCCACATTCCTTCCTGAGGTAGCTGATAGGTTGAAGAGGAGATAAACAAGTATAATGCATCTGACCCACTGACTATGGTAATAACAATTGATCAAGGTTTTCCAGATTATATTCTTCCTGCAAAAGCCTTTAAGAACTTTACTTCAAAGCACAAGATGATTTATTAAATAGGAAGTAACAGAATCTGGGGCCAGGTCAGGATGCAAGTGTAACCTAGAACTCTCCTCTGTTTCCATGGCTTCAGAAGCAAGTCTTCCTCACCCAATGTCCTGCTAGTCTGACTGCTCAGGGACAGCTGTCAAGGCAGCTGTCACCTCAGAAACCATGAGCCCTGCAGTTTTCCAAGCACTTATGAAGGGTGCCCTCCTGGAAGATTCTGGTTGAAGATGCAGCACAGCTAAAAGAGCTTCCGGTAGATGGGGAGAAGAGCTCAGGCTCAGCTACCTCCACATAGCATTCTGGCCTTCCCCTCTTCTCCTCCCAGCACAACAGCCCCCGCCCTCACTGCCTTCATCCAGTACCTGACTATTCAACTACAAGAACCCCAGCCTCTTTCTTACTGGTAAAGAAGAGGACTAGGATGCAAGTTTTTTAATGAAAGGAGCCCAAAAGCAACAAATTAACCTGGGTTCAAAAATCTAGTCATGTAGGGCTCTTGAATCTCTAAATCCCAGGGGTTAAGGTATGGGATAGGCAGAGAGGCAAGTACAGGGAACGTGGAACAATAATTTGGCTTTCTCAGGTCTATGGCGCTCTGGGCCAGTGGTATCCATGAGAGGCTAGTTGAGACAAACTTTTAGGTGTGGGATAAAACAGGAGACTTTCCTCTTTCTACCCCATTCTTCTTAAACTACTCTGAGATGGAGCCAAAACTTATCTGCACTCTGGTGATTAAAACGGCCATCCATGGCTGATGACAATATTTAGCATGCACGTGAAATGATTCTGTCGAATAAATGAGTGACGGTGGGTTATGTGGAAAATCATTTATGAAATCAGCCATGGCTCTGCCAATGAAATAATCCATGACAGACTCGGGTTTTGAAAAGTTCTTATGAGATGGGTACCAAAACAACTCACAGAAGAGCATAAACAGAAGCATTTGGATATCTGCAAACAAAATTTGGACCGATACTTTAAGGAAGGTAAAATTAAAAAAAAAAAAAAACAAAAAAAAAATGTTGCTGCTGACAAGACATGGGTTCATCACTACGAGCTTGAGTGCTAATGGCAGAGTATGGAAACATCCTCAATCACCGACCAAGAAAAAGTTAAAAAATCAACCATCATCTGGAAAATGATGCTTATAGTTTTCTGGGACTCTCAAGGGCCAGTATTAGAACACTATCTGGAAAAAGTTTCAACAATCATCAGTGCTCACTACAGTGAGATGCATACTAAAGAGCTGACTCCTAAACTTCAGATTAAACACAGAGGACTGCTACCTAAGGGCTTTGTGACCTTGCATGACAATGCATGTCTGTACACCTCTACCCACACTGTTGATACTCTGCACAAACTTCGTTTTGAGGTGTTAAAGCATCCTCACACATAGTCCTGATCTTGCTCCATTGGACTTTTACCTGTTTGGTCCCCTGAAAGCAACTCTTTGAGGATGAAGATTCACCTCTGATGAAGAAGTGAAGATAGCAGTGCATTCATGGCTTTCAGCTCGCCTAAAACATTTTTAGTAAGGAAACGTGAAAGCTTGTTGACAGATGGACAAGGCATACTGAAAAGCAAGGAGAGTTATGTCGAAAAATGATGTGTTTGTCTTTTCTAAAAGTTGATTAAAATAAATTCAACAACCAGGGTGCAGGTAATTTTTGACTCACCCTAGTATATTAGGGATTCTTTAACATTTATAAATTTGGTGACTTTGGCAGATCATCTATATTGAATGTTCACATCTACAGGTACACGGACCATTGTGCTTTATATGTTAGCAACTCATTTAACCCTTTTAATAATGCAGTGAGTTAGTACAATGATTATCCCCATTGGACAGATGAGGAAACCTGCCCATTTCACATGCTCCTTAAATAATAGAGGCAGGAATCCAACACAGGCACTCTGGCCTGGAGCTGTAGCCCTAAAGTATTATCTTCTTATTGAACCCTAAAATAACATGAACGTACTGGGGTGCAGGGTCAGTCAGGGACATTGATCAGAAGTCCAAATGCATTTCTCTAAGATAAAATACACTGGGGGGACAGGATCTCATACACCATGTACTACATTTTAGGGCTCTTAGTCTGGAGTTGAGTGGAAGCCAGAAGGCTCAGATGTGGTACTGAGCGTTTTCCCTCTATACATTTCTTTCAATTAATATTTAACCATTTGTTCTGTCCTAACCCTTTACTGATCTTGGGAATTCATTGAAAGCTGGACTATAGGTCTTATTTTCAAAGAAATCATAATCTAATTTAGATGCCACCCATGGACAAAGTACCAACTAAATCAAACCCACTGCCATCAAGCCAA